CTCGAGTGCTGAAAGCAGCGCCCCGCGCGAGAAATCTTCGCATTCGGTTCTGGGAGCAGAGAAACCCAAACCACCAAATTCGCAAACAGCTCTAGGCAGCCCCGCACTTGGGCCGCGAACGGGCGAATGAGATACCCCCTTGCAGCTCATTTTGGGGCGCTGAAGCCATAGCCTCGCCCGAGACACCCTCACACTCAATTCAGAAAGCAGAGAGGTCACGACCACCAAACATGCAACCCGCTCGAGACATCACCGCAATCTGGCCGCGAACGGGCGAGTGAGATATTCCGTGGCGGCTTCCCCCTTGGAGTGTTCAAGCCATCTCGCCCGGGACATCTTCACATCTCTGTTGTGAAAGCAGAGAAGTCCGAGCCACCAAACCCGCAAACCGCTAGAGACATCCCCGCAATCGGGCCGAAAACGGGCGGGTGAGATACCCCTTGGCAGCTCCGCTTGTGGTGCCAGAGCCGCTGCCTCGCTCGAGACACCCGCGCACTTGGTTCGGAAAGAGAAGTCCAAGCCACCGAATCGGCAAACCGCTCGGGACATCCCCACAATCTGGCCGCGAACGGGCGAGTGAGATACCTCCTGACAGCTTCCTTTGGGGTGCTGTAGCCAGCGCAGCGTTCGAGACATCCTAAAATTGTGCCCGGGGGGCGACCAATCAAGAACGCCGCATATATATATATATATACAGACAGACGTACATATACATATATATATATATATACATACATACATATATACATATATATATATATACACTCATACCCGTGTGAATGAGTTTGTGCGCGAGCGAGAAGGAGCATGATTTTGTTTAGCATGTGTACCTTGGCGTGGATGTGTCTGAGTGCGAGTGAGTCTGAATACGAGTGACTCCGAGTGTGGATGTGTCTGGCAGCGATTGGTTTGAGCATAAGTGTGAGCAGAAAGAGACTGAGTGGAGCGAGCCTGAGCGCGAGTGATTATGAAGGTGAGTGAGTCTGAGTGTTGAGTAAATCTGGTACGAGTGCTCATGAGCGCACGTCGGTATATGTACGAGCGAGTCTGAGTATGAGCGAGTGTGAGCGAGTATGAAGATGAGTGAAGCAGAGTGTGAGTTAGTCTGAGTGCGATTGGTGTCTGAGTATGGGTGAATGAGCGTGAGTTTGTCTGAATGTGAGTAAGTTTGGGTGCGAGCGAGTCTGAGTATGAGTGTGTCTGACGATGAGCGAGTCTGAGTAGGAGCGTGTCTGAGTCTACGAGAGAAGGAGCAGGAGGGAGTGAGGGAGTGAGAGTCGGCTGCGTCTTATTGATAAGAACGCAACTCTCAGGGTAAGGGGAAATCAACCAGATGTAGGCGTGTTCAGTTTCAAAGGTTCTTTTTTACAGTTTGATTCTGGTTTGGTGACCTCTCAATTTGTTTGGCGGCACCTTGGAAGATTGGCATCCGTTGCATTGATGGGTGGCGTTTTTGTGTCAAATTTCAGCGTATTGCGATAGGCGTTGTCAACATCAGCATCAAGACCGCTAGGAGCGTATTGACTTTGTATGGAGAGCGACTTCTTTTCAACATTGTCTTTGCCTTTTCATGTGTTGAAAGATTCCCCAAACAGTGCTTGCACTTAGGCTTTCTTACTTCCGTTACAAAGAACTGGGTCGTGTCGTCTGTCTGGCGGCTATGTGGTCACGGTCGCCGCCCCGTCGCCGCCCGTCGTCTGGGCCGTGTCTTCGCTCTGGCGGCTGTGTGGCTGCCGTCGCCGCCCCATCGCCGCCTCGCCGCCGGCCAAGATTGCACAACGTAGATCGCACCGCATAGATTACACAAACAGATTGCACAGCATAGATCGCACGACATAGCTTGCACAAAATAGACTGCACCGCATCGGTTGCACCACATGGACTGCACAACGCAGATTGCTTCACACAGAGCGCACCACGTAAATTGCACCACGGGGAGGGCACCACTTAGAATGCACCGCATAGCTTGCACAACACGGGTTGCACAACATATATTGCATCTCATAGAGTGTACATCATATATTGCACCACAAATCGTGCACCACAGAGATTGGGCAACATATATTCTCTTTTATGGCTCTATTTCCTTCAAGCAAGATAGGTTCTACCACCCTCCCCTCCCCGGACTTACAGGTGCACCTAGTTCATACTATCCCAGCTAGGCGGGTATCGCCCCACCACCCCCACCATCCCCTGCAACAAAATACCATGCGCGCACACTCGTTTATCAAGATTCATAAGTTTTCAAGAGCCCCCCGCACAAAATATGACGAAGTGCACAAGCGCGCGTCGTCGCGCGCGCATGCCGAAATCTGTCAAAAACCGAAGATTACGGAAACATTTCAAAATCGAGTCTCCAAAACACATATAAGAACCATGGTTTCGCAACACGAATTCTCAACAAAAACATGCGCGCTCTTGCGAATGCTTACGAAAACTACGGGCTTCGCGCGCGCGCGCATGTCGAATCCGCCCTTGCGCGCGTGCCGTCGCAAGCATCCTCTGCAAAACAATGACCGGAGTGCACGCGCGCGCGCGCCGTCGCGCGCGCATGCCGGAATCCTTCAACGACATTTTGTTTCGGAAGAATTCCCAAATCGAGTGTCCAAAAACCATTCTTTTAAACAAAAAACGCAATGTCTCGCAACACGGGTGTTCAACAAAAGCGTGTGCGCGCGCTCTCGCGAATTCTTGGGAACACCATGGGTTTTCAACATTCTCATAAAATGTTACAAAGCGCGCTTCGCGCGCGTGCATGTCGAAATTGTTCGAACGCCCTTGCGCGCGCACTGGGGTGGCAGGATCCGCGTCTAATGATACCATGCGAGCCACTTTCGTGCGTCTGCCGCGCGCGCATTTCGAATTCCTGCCAAAACCTGCATCACCGACGCGAAGACGCCGTCATCGTCGTCGGCGTGATCGGCATCGGTGCCGTCACTGGCTGCCCCGTCGTCGCTGTCAGCATCGTCGCCAACATCGCTTCTATCATCATCATCGTGACTACCGTTGTCGACGTTGCCATGATACTGCGCCCGCCCATGTCGCCGATTCGCACTGCATTGCCCGCTGGGATGTGCCCGGCGGTCAGCGCCACCGCGTTTACGTCGGTCGCGCCATACTGGTTGGCCGCTGCGCGCGCGCATGCGCGGGCTTGCGCGGCCGCAAAGATGCACCAGCCAGCGCCAAGCACTCAGGGCAATCGCCGCCGCATGAGGTTTGCAAACCAAGTTGCGGGTGGGTGGGTGGTACGTTTGCGCGAGCAGTGGAGTGGACAATGCATTGCGAACGCGAATTCTTGAAAAAGAAATCAGTTATACCCCCCCCCAGACTCATCGACCCACCTAGCGCTATTTATATATGATTCTGCCCCACCGTCCATCCGAACCATGAATTCATACTATCCCAGCCAGGCCGGTGTCCCCCCCCCCCCCGCCCCCCCCAATGCGTGCGCACTCGCTGATCACAGATTATAAGTTTTCACGAACCCCTTGCCAACACAAATGACGAAATGCACGCGCGCGTCGTCGCGCGCGCATGCCGAAATCCCCTAAGAAAATCGAGTGTCCGAAAATATGTTTCAAACATATGGTTTCGCAACGCGGATGTTCAGCAAAAGCGTGCTCGCGCGTTATTGCGAATTCTTAGGAAAACCATTCGTTTTCCAAAATTCTCCTACACTGCTACCAAACGGGCTTCGCGCGCGCGCGCATGTCGAAATTGTTTGAACGCCCTTGCGCACGCGCTGGGGTGGCAGGATCCGCGTCTAATGATACCATGCGAGCCACTCTCGTGCGTCTGCCGCGCGCGCATTTCGAATTCTTGCCAAAACCTGCATCACCGACGCGAAGACGCCGTCATCGTCGTCGGCGTGATCGGCATCGGCGCTGTCACTGGCTGCCCCGTCGTCGCTGTCAGCATCGTCGCCAGCATCGCTACTATCATCGTCGTGACTACCGTTGTCGACGTTGCCATGATACCGCGCCCACCCATGTCGCCGACTCGCACGGAAGTGCCGCTAGGATGTGCCGAGCGGTCAGCGCCACCGCGTTTGCGTCGGCCGCGCCATGTTAGCTGGCCGCTGCGCGCGCGCATGCGCGGGCTAGCGCGGCCGCAGAGATGCACCAGCCAACACGCAGCACCCACGGCAATCGCAGTCGCATGGCTTTTGCAAACCAAGTTGCGGGTGGGTGGGTGGGATGATTGTGCGAGCAGTGGAAATTACAATGTCAAGTTCGGCGAGAGAATCACACCACGTAGATTCCACCACTCAGACTGCAACACATAGCTTGCTCGATCTATAATCATGTATATGTACATACGTACAATCATACATACATACGGCTACAGGGGGGGGGGGGCGCTGCCAGCTGCCTGGCGTCGATATGGGCGCCGCGGGCCTCCGGGAGCCTTCCGGGAGGGCCCCAGAACGGCCCCCGCCAACCAAAATGGCGACCCAAGACAGCCAAGACAGCCTCCAGGCAGCCCAGCCTGCCTCCAAGACGCCCCGCGAAGCCGCCGAAAACCTGCCCAAGAGGCCCCAAAGGACGAATTTCGTGAATTTGAGGAGGTTTTACTATGGATTTTCACGGGTGCGCGTGTCCAGCTCCGGTGCAATCCGAAACGGCCCCAGACGCCCACGAGTTCACCCTGAGACGGCCCAGGAAACTTCAAACACGGTCCAAGAACAGTTCCAGAAGGTCCCCAGACTTTTTAGGAAGCCGCCAACCAGCCCCGCAGACCTGCCCAATACGATCCAGGGAGCCCCGCCTTGCCAGAATACCGACCCAAGACAGCCTCGAGACATCCCACGATGCCTCCATCAAGCTCCAAGAAGCCGCCGAAAATCTGCCCAAGAGGGCCCCCAGGGCCGAATCCCATCCATGACGCGAGGGTTGCACGGCCCGAACACAGCCCCAGATGGCCTCAAGAGGGCCCCTGAAGCCGCCAACCAGCCCCCCCCCGAATGCCAAACACGAGCCAGGGATGCCCCCCCCGCCACAATGGCGGTTCCAGACGCCCAAGACGCCCCACCAAGCCGCCGACAGCATGCCCAACGAGCCCCGAGAGCCGAATTGGTGACGCTTCGCGAATCCCCACCAGCCCATCCAGAAAAGATGCCCAGAGGAATTGCCTCGATCAGGGAAGTGGGCAGCACACAGAGGAAGCCATTATGAGACATCTTGGGATATCTGGAGCAATCTTGGAGGTCATCTTGGGCTCTCCCAGGCGCTCTTGGAGTCATCTTAATCAGTGGCCCACCCAAGAGGCCAACATGCGGCTAAAACCTTGTAAAATCAATGATTTGGCATTCTCGCCGAGGCCTCTTGGAACATTTTGGGTGCCTCTGGGGGGTCTCTTGGGGCCTCTTGGAGGTCTCTTGAGAGCCTCATGGGGGCATCCCGAGGAACTCTTGGGTTTTCCTGGCCACCTCTGGGGGCCCTCTTGGGACACCCTTGGGAGCCTTGGGGGGCATCTTTGGGCCATCTTGGGTGAGATGGATCACAGGAAGGGGGGTTACGAATTACAGTCCCCCCCTCAGAACCAATTTGGGGCCAAAACCATACTAAAACCAATGAGTTTGGCTTCCTCGCTGAGGCCGTTTTGGACGCTCCGACGACCCCTCCCCGAAGGGGAAGAAGGAAGGGTGGAAGAGGAAACGCTCTAAACCACCGACGCCCAGAGGGCTGGTGGGATTCCATGCATATTGCGACGGTGTCTGAACGATTGTTGACGGGTGCCAAACGGCCTTCAACTCGCTCACACCAGGCGGAAAACGGCCCCTGAGGCTTTCGAAGCCTCCCAGACCTATCCAAAACGGTCCAAAGAGCCCCCGCCGTGAAGCCCCCGAGACTTGTCCCAAATGGTTCAGAGAGGCCCCCCTCACCAAAATGACAGCCCAAGACGCCCAGGACAGCTTCCGAAACGCTGCCCAGAGTGCAACCTTTCCAGGAGCGCTTCAAGACGGCCGAAGAGGGTCCCGAGACAACCCAAGAGGACCCCCCGACTGCCTAAGAGGGCCGCGCAAGGGTCCCATGAAAAACTCTACGAATGCCCACCCAGGCCCAGAACCCCCCATGACGGCCCAGAACAGTTCCATGACGGACGAAAAGGATTTCGACCATGATGGCGACGACGATGACGATATTGATGATGGTTGAGTTCATGATGATGATGTTGACGATGCTGATGACAATGATGATGGCGACGGTCATGATGATAATTGGGATGTCTGACAGCTCCGATTTATCGTGTTCCGGAAACGTCTTTCTGGAGCACGTAAATTTACGATGCCGATGACGATGGCATTGACAACCACGATGACGATGACGAGGGTGATGATGCGGATTATGATGACGACGGCGATCATGACATTGATGAACATAACGATGACTAGAAGATGATGGTTGCGATATTGATGATGCCGATCATGCACATGCGGACCACAATTTCTCGCAGCACGTGCAACCACGATGCTGATAGCGATGACGACGGCGATGCCAATGCAGATCATGACGACTCAGTTCATGACTGTGACGACGATGAAAGGGGGGATGTTGATGATAAGGGTGCCCTCCAGTCCCCCATTCACTTTGTCCGGAAATGCCTCCCAAGGGCATGTCAATTTACGATGGCAATGACGACGACGATGACGAGGATGACGAGGAGGATGATATTGACGACGGCGATCATGAAGGTGATGAACATGATAATGGTTACAAGATGATGATGACGTCCTTGGTGATGCTGATGATGCACATGCGGACACTGGTGATGCCGATGAGGATGACGATGTTGATTACGTTTGTTGCTTGGGCCTGTGCATGTTGTTATTACCCTGAATGCCTCCGGCGGGTCTGCCTGCCGTGACAGGCCCGACGTGAGCACCCACATCCGCGGTGTTAGTGTTCGGTCCTCCTCTTGTTGCTTCCTCGTTTCTCCCTTCCATCTACTTCGCTTCGCGAGTCCTCAGCGCGAGCACTTCACAACGTGGGTCGTGAGAAATACATTGTTTGGGTCACCTAATATTTGCATCCCTAGATGTTGGCATTTTAGCTGCGATTGGGGTGTTCGTCCAGGACTGTGCCCAGGACGCTTCGGACCCTGAAGGACTCCGTATTGGATGAGGGCGGCGGCGGAATCCGTGGCCGATTCACGATTGGAGATTCACCGGTTTCCAGACCCAGGATTTGTTATCGTCTACTGCCTTCACTGCATCAGGATGGAGGTGGATCCGTTTCATGACGGGGCTCTCGCCTGAACGGTCGGCCTTTCGGGCGCTCGACTGTGGGGGGGTTGCCTTCCGCAGTGAAAACGGTCACTTGTACATGCAGGGGTTTGTGAAGAAGGGACTTGGGACGGAAGGGTGTACTGCAGCATCGTTGGTGCGTCTTGGGTTGAATCTCGCCCTCCCGACGATGCTCTTCGTTACCTTGCTCATCTTCTTTCCCCTCGTCCTCCTTACCTCTGGCAAATGACCAGGGTCGGCTCCCAGGCGATCCTGCATCCGCCCCTTTTTCCCGACTGTTGTGAAGACGCCTCGGGGTGGGCGCCTTCATGTGGTTCTGCCGCTGGACGTATCCTGCCGGTCACGGATGGCAAGTTCTCTCTGATGGCGCACGGCTTGCCGTTTTGAATGCCGCTTCCGGCCACTGCATCATAATCCCCCTTCGTCGTGATCATCATATCCTCTACCGCCGCCGCCGTTGGCTCTTCATGCTGCTCCGCCACATGTTTCAAACATATGACGCCGCTCTGCCGACCCTCATGAAGGGATATGTGCGACGTCCGATGGTGTCTGTTTTGTTTGCCGTTTTGTTGTTGTGCTGCTTGCGTGCAATTGTTGCTGATGTGTTTTCTTCTTCCTCCACGTGCGTTTGTGGCGGGGCGCCTTGGAAGCCTCGTGGGGTCCTAGGGAGCGGGCTTTTGGAGCCTTTTCTGGGCTCCTGGGCTTTGGGGGGGCCTTCTGGGGAGTTCTTTGGGCCTCCTGGGGGCATGTTCGGGGTCATAGGGGGTAATCTTGTGGGAGACGGCTCATGGGCTCCCTGAAAGCAATTCCTCTTGGGCCTCCCCAGCGACTCTCGTGCGATCCTCGTGAGGGCGTTCTTGGCCCCCACCGGTGGACAATCCTCGCAATCCTGGCCAGAACGCACCCCGGGAGAGGTCCGCTGAGCAGCAGTATCGGTATTTTTGGGTACCCCCACAAACGGTGTGGTAAGCACGCCGTTTGGTGGGTCGGTGGGGATCCGGGGTCACCGCATGGTTTCGGGGCTCAGGTCGTTCTTCAAAGGTGTCCCGGGCGGTTTAAACATTTGGGGTCCCCAAACCATGCGGTGACGGACCGCGCGGTGAAGTCCCTTGGGGGTTCGAGATAACCGCGCGGTCTGACACTGTGTGGATTGGGACCCCCAATCCTGACCATATCCGACTACGCAAATCGTTCGAGGCCAGGCGATGGCCAAGGGATGGCCACATCCAAGGGGATCGCTGCCTCGGCGAGGAATCGGACCCCCCAGAGCCCCCCAGGACCCCTAAGGCGCCCAGAAAGCATCCCGAACCTCGTCGACCCTCGTTCTTCCCTCTCCCTGGAGCCTCGATTTCCAGGAGGCGCTGGTGACCCCACCCCAGTCTTCAGTTTCCCCCTTGCCCGATCACCTCGCTGGCTGTGTGTGGTCGACCCCAGGGGGGTGCCGATGGGTCCTGGGGCGTTTCGCTGGTTTGCCCCACGAGGGTTAGCCAGGTGCATCAATGTTGCCTGCTGCTTGCGTCGTGAGGCGTTGTGGCGTCACCTTAGGCCTCGAGCCTTGCTGTAACGAAGGCAACAACCAGCATAAACATAAACTGTCGGAGGTCCGCGCTGATTTCTGGGATCGGCGCTGGAACCCCCATCCCTGGCGCGCGAAGCTTCAACAGTTTATGTCAATGCACTTTTTTGTTTCTCGATTGAACCCCCCTGGTGGTGACCCCCCTGAGCACTGCCCGACGACTGGTGAGCGATTCTCGCGGTGACGAAATGGCCGCGGCCTGGGCCGTCGTGCTCTCGCGTGCATGAGATCATATTCTGCGCGCGCGGGCACCCAGAAGCAACTATACGATATTTGTCCCTTGCCTTGCCACCCGATTGCACTGCGGTAGGTTCGCGTCATGTCGACGCGGCCGCGACCCCGCCGCGGGCGTTCAAGGTTGAACGCCGCCCATGGCCGAGAATCCGCAAATATAGAAGGATCTGGCGATCGAAAGACCGACAACCTATCAGGGCTGAAAGATCAGTGCAGTGTTGGAAAGCAGCGCTGGGGTTGTCACGGCACGAACCCGCCATATGCCGTGTTGCGGTCTAAGAGCGCAGCCGTGCCGCCGCATCTCGCTGCGTGACGTGCACAAGCGTGGCGCGTGCCATCTCATTCGATGTTGGCGCGCGGTGACGCTGCGTTCTTGCGTCCGCAGGGGAAGTTCTACTACGTCAACACAAGGATCGGCGAGTAACGCGTGCTGCAATGGAGGTGGAGAGGTCGGGATGATGGAGGACGTCTTCATGTTGAATGTTCCTCGCCGCCTTGCTTGCACCCTGCTGTTGCGGGGGATCTCACACGAGCGGCTGCCACGGCCGCGCCCGTCAGCACTCCGAGAAGGGGGTTTATCCATATCTACCACCCGGGGAATCGTGATTCCTGGACATCGGAAACGGTGGATACATATACATAGCACGTGTGCAATTATGCATACATAGTAGCATGCATACACACACCCATACATGCACACATGCATGCATACATACATACGCACGTACATACATACATACATACATGCATGCATGTGTGCATGCATGCGTACATGCATGCGTACATACATACATACATACATACATACATACATACATACATACATACATGCATATGCTCATATTTCCATACATACATGCATACACGTATACAAACATAGGTATATACATAGACACATAAGTGTATATGTACGTACGTATGTACTTAGACATAGATGTACACAAATGTATAGGGGGGGGCCTGGGGACCCAACCATGTCCATATCCAACGCCCCCTGGGGTCCCAGTAATCACGCTTCCGCAGGCGCTGGCGATGGATAATCCCCACATCGCAGACATGGTTTTCGCGGGAGCCCGAAATTCGAGGAAGACAACTTTGCATGAACGCATTTCTTGAGCTCCGCGCGGATTTTTTGGGTCGGTGTTGGATCCCCCCAGCGGCGCTTCGGGCGCAGCCCCTGTCACGCTCCGCGCGCCAGGGAGGGCGGGAGTGGGCAAAGGGGTGCGGCTGCACTTTTTGCAGTGACCTTCCGATGCGCGCCGTCGCGGTGGAGAGAGAGGAGGAAGGTGGAGGGGGAAGCACAGATGAGGAGACGGCAGGAGAAAGAAGGAAGCAGGAGGGAGGGATCATCGCAATTAGACGAAGCAGAAGAAGCGGAGGAGGAGGAGGAGGAGGAGGAGAAGGAGGACACGCCGGGCGGTGCGGCTGCACTGGCGGGTCCGAGCGCGGACCCGCCTCATGGAGCTGGAAAGGAGCAGGGAGGAGCGGGAGGAGGAGTCGGCGAGGGGTGCGCCTGCACGCACGCGCGCAGGCGCGCGCGCAAGCGCGCGCAGGCGCGCTCAAGCGCAAGAGCGCCCGCCGCCCGCCGAGGACGCAGGAGACGTCGTGGACGGCCCCACCCCTGGCCACGTGGGAGCGCAAGGAGCGCTGGCTTGGTCGGCAGAAGGGGGGGGCGGGAGAGGGCGGTGGAGGGCAGGGCCTCCCCCTCCTCCGCCTCCTCCTCCGCATCCTTCCTACTCCTCTTTCCTACTCCTCCTCCCTCCTCCTCCTCCTCCTCCTCCTCCTCCTCCTCCTCCTCCTCCTCCTCCTCCTCCTCCTCCTCCTCCTCCTCCCTCCCCTTCCTCCCTCCCTCCCTCCTCCTCCTCCCTCCCTCCTCTCTCTTCCTCCGCCTCCCTCCCCCTCCCCCGGGGGGATCCGGAGAAGGGGGGGAGGCGAAATTTGCTGCGTGCAGCTGGTCTCGGCCCCGCCGCCATTGGCGCTTTCCTCGATATAGCCGTTGGCGCCTCCGGCGCGGAGAGGCGCCCGGAAAGCCAGCTGCGTGGATTGCGTCGTCCCCCCCCCCCCCCCTGAACTAGGGGAACGAACAATGACATAAACATAAACACTCGGAGGTCCCGGAGGTCCGCGGGAATTTTTCGGATCGGCGCTGGACCCCCCTCCCTGGCGCGCTCCGCGCGCCAGGGGCGGCGCTGGAGGCGCCCACCCTGTCGTCTGACCCGATCCTCCTTCCCCCTCCTCCCCTGTTGCCTCCTCTTTCCCAGTTCCTCATCACCCCCTCACACGCTCAAACACTGCGCAACTCAGGTCGATCGAGGACCGCACCTGAGCGAAAGAAAGAGAGAAGCCCGCCTTGCCTTGATCTTCAGCAACCTGTCTTCTTAGGAGAAAGTGGGACTTGGGCGGGGGGCTAGTGAGCCCGCCTCACCTCCAGGATGTCGAATCTTCCTCGAGGCAATGGTACAACACAGTCCACCCGCGGTGTCCCACCCCTTTCGGCACACATATCACTCGCTTCGCGGCCCCATAGGGAGTTCCACCGAAGGTCCCGGTGGCACAGTCCGCATGTGGTTCCCGACCCATTTCGGCACTGGCGCTGCGATCATCGTCCGGTCAGAGTCCGTGCAGCTTCGGAAGGAAGGGGGGGAGGGCCACCGAGCGCCTGCCCCCACCCCACGAAGGCCTGCAGGGCTCTGCGCCAGGAGCCCACTCCTCCACCGGAGTCCCCGAGATCCCCGTGGACCCCCTCGAGAACCCCGAGATTCGACGACTCGAAAGCATTGCAACATCTTTAAGACAGAACGACCAGGGCCCCAGACCCCTATCTTTCTGCATCATTTTCCTAGGCAGATCGATCCGTGATGATCCAGGGTCCGAAACAGGGCGAACACGCCCAGTTCGAACAAATTGCGACGCCAGGATTTGGGACCTCCAGGGCCCCCCCTCGATGGGGAAAGAGATCGCGAGCGGACGATGGCCTGCCCTCCTCCCGGGAGGTGTGCCGCAGTGGCTCAGAGAGGCCAGGCGCGCTGGACGGGCGCGCCTCTTCCAAACGCCCAGGCATTCGACGACGTGCCTTCTGCTCACGCCGTGGCCTCCCAGTGGGCCCCTTCCAGAGAACGGGCTGGTCATCCCGAGCCTTCCTTGTGACGGTCCCGGGGCCCCGGTGGGGGCCCCGGAGGCCGAGAGTGGCAAAATCGGGGGCGGCAAAGAGGGGGGTGCTGGCTAGGGCCGGCCACGCGCAGAGGGGGGTGGGGGGAGGGGGGAGGGCTTCTTAGAAGCAGCCTCATCTATAGATGTGAGGCCTTATCTATAGATGTGAGGCCGGCGCCTTCCAAGAAGCAGCCTCCTTCTAAGAAGCCCTCCTCCCTCCCTCCACCCCCTCGTGCGCGCCGCCAGTAGGGGGGGTGGATATCATGGCGTGGGCCAAGATTGTTCCCCAGATTTCATGGCGCCTCTTCTTAGTTCATTACGTCCCTGGCCCCCCCGCTGGGCCGCGCACATGCCGCCGGTCATGATTTGCACCACCCCCCCCTCTTGGACACCCCCCTCCTGGCCGCTCCCGAAGAAAACCTCCCGGCTGGATTTTTCGGGAGTCGACAGAACCCCCACCCTGACACATCGATTAGTGGATGTCTTGGGCGTCGCGGCCGTCATTTTCCAGGCTTGCGCCCGCCAGGTTTGGGCCCGAGGTCGTTTTCAGCAAACCACGTTTTACTCAAGGGGGTTCTGTCCATCCTCGATTTTTTCCACTGCGCCAGCATGCCAGGGCGCCCCACCGCACTCTGCGCCCAGGCCGCCGCGCGGCATGTACGCCGCCTTTGCAGCCCCTCAGCCCGCCGCGCCCCGCTGCGGCGGCGCCGCGGCGCACCCAGCTTAGGATGCAGCTCCTGGGAGGTTGAATTCAGAATCGGCGCTGACAGATCCCTGGTCGAAAACTATCCAGACACGATCGCCTCGTAAAAAATCAGGACGGGAGGGTTTTGACAATTCTCGGCCTCGGGGGGCCCTCGCCAGGCCTCGGGACAGTCAAGAAACGACTCAGGATGAAAAACCGGTCCCGGGGAAAGGGTCGGGACTTCCAGGGACCCCGTATTGAAAAAATCAGGCCGTCGCACGTCTGGGTAACGTAATATGGCGCAAGCCCGTTTCATTTGGCTCAATCCTGGTGGATCCAGCCTAATCCGGGTGAGTCTGGCCGAATTCTCGGTTGAATCCAGCCGTCTCTGGCTCGAGCCCTTACAGTCAACCCGCATAATAAGGATGGGCAACCTCCCAAAGGGTACCTTTGCATCCTTGCCCCTTCGGCCAATCCTTGGCCACTTTCGCTGGCCGCGCCCCGCTCGAAAAGCTCCGAAATGGGTGTCTGAGGCCCTTGCATCCTCATCGCGCCTCCTTGTGATACGGGCCGGCTGTAACCGCATGAAGCTATCAAGGACCCCCCTGGGGTTATCATTAGCACCGCACCGCAATTAAATAATTTTTGGGGACGGTTTTCGCCGAACGATATAGTTAGCACCACGCAAATGAACGAAAATCAAGCATCCCGCGCCCTGGCTCGGGTGATATCTCAATTGGAATTGGAATAAGAATAAGAATGCAAATGAAACACGAGCACTACGAATAATATTAATAGTAATGAGAAGAATTAAGAAGACAAAGAGTAATAATATTGATTAGAGAGTAAGAGTGGTAATATTAACAATAAGTAAGAGTCGTACTAAGAGTATTAATACGACGAATGAATCATAATAATAATATCATTAATAATAACAGGCATCGCCCGAATAAGAATATGTATAGGAATAATAATAAGAAGCAGAATAAGAATAATAATAATAATAATCATAACCAGGATAAGAACAAGAGTGTTTCCCATTATCTCTACCATCCTTGTTCTATACGATTTGTACTACCACCCCTGCTGAAAAATGGATGTTCCCCGGCCGTCGTGTGAGGTCGTGCGTCCGAGGATATCGCCCCCGCCACGGACGGCGCGTTATCTTAGCACCACACCCGCACACAATAATTACGACAGTTTGTCAAACAAGACAAGACGTACAATAACACCAATACTCATAATCATATTAGTACAGCTAACAATAAATCGATGGAAAAGAATGTTAACAATAGTAAGAATAAGGATAATACTGACAGTAATACTGAGAAAGCAAATAATAATAAAACCGAAAACAGCAAGAGTAAGAATAGTAATACGAGTACTAATAGGAGTCAGAATAAGAATAAGAAGAAACATAGTCCGATTAAGGATACGGATAACAATAACAATCATAATAATAGTACGAATAAGAGTTATAGGAATGAGATTAAGAATAAGGACATTAGTTATACTGATAAGGGCAACAATAATAAGAACAGGAACACGAATAGTGATAAGAGTATGAATAAGAAGACCGATAAGAGTACTCAGAAGAGTAAGACGAACAATAGCAATACTAATAATAATCATATCCCGAATGCGAATACTGATCAGAATACGAAAGTAATCACATTACGAATACTATTAAGAATAGTCGAATAAGAATCATAATCGCACTTTTCATAGTAGTAAGACTACGGATGATAATAATCATCATAATAGGAATACGAAAAAAGAGCTGGCTCCCATTATCTGCATCATCCTTGCCCTATACGATTTGTATAACCACCCCTGTTGAAACATTGTTTTTTCCCGGCCGTCGCGTGGGGTAGTGCAATCGAGGATATCACCCTCGTCACGCACGGCGCGCTATCTTAGCACCCGCACAGCCACAAAGTTTCGCCCCCCATCGTAGGCACGGGCGGTTCCTTTTCAAAGTTGGGCTCTCCCTTGCGTGGGACTTAATGTTGTCATTAGTGGTGTTGGCGTTGTTGCTGTTTTTGGTGTTGATGTTGTTGGTGGTGTTGTTATTGGCCTTGTTGTTCTACATACGTATATGTCTTTTTGCTGGCATTGTTGTCGTCGTTCGTGTTGGTGCCGTGCCGTAAGGGAGTCTTGAGGAGGAGGAGGAGGAGGAGGAGGAGGAGGAGGAGGAGGAGGAGGAGGATGTTTTTTGTTTAGCTGGGCCAAGGCCTCTTGACTGAGGCCTTGGCCCTCGGCTTGATCCGTAATGGCGAATAAGAGCCAAAATATTGCGAGAATGTCTCAGGCGGTGTGCTTGTTTCGGCGAGCAGACTCGTCTGCGTTCACATAAAGGTGCGAGGTGCCAGGGTAACTTTTCTGAGGGTGCCGGGCGCGTTATACTTTCGCCAGAGAGGGGGGGAGGGATTCTTCATTGCTTCTCCGGGGTATCAGCGTTGTGACGAAGACCTCCCAGCAGCCGCCTCCTCACCCAGACTGCGTGCCGCCTTCTCGTCGTGACCTGGCGCGCCACGGCGCCGCCGGCGCCGACAGCGCCGCCGCAGCCGCCGCAGCCGCCGCAGCCGCGGCGGCAGCGGCGGGGACGCTGGCCGGCGGGGCCCCCCGACGCCGGCGCAAGCCCGCGGCGCGCGCCCGCGCCAGGGGGGGTCAGGCGGCGCTCGCCGAGGCGTCTGCCACGGTGCCCACGGCGGCGGGGCCGGTCGCCACGAGCGCCTCCTCCTACCCCTCCTCCTCCTCCTCCTCCCCTTCCTCCTTCTCGTCCTCCTCTTCCTCCTCCCCTTCCTCCTCTTCCTCCTCCTCCTCCTCCTTCTCGTCCTCCTCCCCCTCCTCCCCTTCTTCCTCCTTCTTGTCTCATCCTCCTGCACCTCCTCGCCTTCCTCCTCCTCCTCCCTCCTCTCCTCCTCCTCCTCCTCCTCCTCCTCCTCCTCCCCCCTCCTCGTCGTTCTCCTCCTCCTCCTCCTCCTCCTCCTCCTCCTCCTCATCCTCCTCGTCCCCCCCGTCCTCCTCGTCCTCCTCGTCCTCCTCCTCCTCATCATCAGCATCATCATAATCATCATCTTCATGCTCTCTCTCTCTTTCTCCTCCTCATCCTCCTCCTCCTCCTTCTCCTTCTCAGTCTTCTCCTGATTGTCGAGTGGCGAACTTTTTTCTGCGGGGGACAGCGGGCTCCCATCGCACACAACTCGGCAACTCGACACAGGACACGACTGCAGAGTGCGGAAGTCAAAAACTGAAAGAGGACGAGGCGCTACTGGCAACGACCGATGCGTTTGCCGTCTCTCGTGGGAGCGGAGCCTCTGGCGAGAGCATGCGAGTGACCTTGGCTCCACGCTTCGCGCAGGGCTTCCCGGCCCTTCTCATCAAGACGACCCAAGACGGCGCTTGCGAGAGGGCGACAGTTGGCCAGCACCCAAGTGGCACACCGAGGGCGGCGACGATCCGACAAGTGAGCTAGACACCTGAGTCGGGTTCTGAACCGCGTGCCACAGGAGGGGCACACGCCAGAGCTATCTATATACTGCTTGATGCCGAGCCGGTGCCCGTGCTTGGCACGGCAGTGGCTGGCAAGAGCGCGCTCCGTGGGGAGCCGCGCGCGGCACACCCCGCACGCATGGCCCCGGGCCCGCCCGGCGGGCGGCGCCGACGAGGGCGGAGGGGAGTGGCGATGTACACACGGTTCTGCGAAGAATGTTCTGTCCGATCTTATCCCACCTGGCAGGGGACCGGAGAAGACCGAGCCATTGGTCGTGATCCTCGTGCAGGGCACCTATACTAGGAACGAGGCCCGTTGCTCTAGCTCCCTCGGTGTCCGTTCTGACCAACGACGTCCAAGGGAGTTCGGGCTCGGAGGAGCCCGCGTGCAACAAAGCGAAAAGATGGAGGGGCTGGTTGCGAACCAGCCAGGCGAAATACCTCAACTGGGCCACCATGAGGAGGCAGTCGAGTGAGGGCATTTGCAATTCGAGTGACACTTCCAAATCCGTCATCTCCACCTTCGCGGAAAGGCGGGGGTCGCCGGCGATCCGCCGCAGCACGCGCATGTAAACTCGCGCCAGCTTCTGTAAGGCACGAGGAGATAACACGCTCACGTGCAGATTGAAGGTGAGGCGAGAGAGACTAAACTGCGCATGAAAACAAACTTGTTTTTGTCATCAATCACGCGCGGCCTTCCCAGTCTGGATTCCGGGACGCGATCCCGCGGATACGCGGTCGCACGGATGCGTTCCGCGCGGGGTTTTGGTAACAAGACGCCCCGTATCCGCGGGGTAGCGGGACCAGGGACCCGGCCCGCGAGGCCGCGCAAACGGATAGTCATTTGTTTCGCCCACGAGGTCGGGAAGCCGGGGTTGCTGTCCGTGCTGCAGGCGTCGGCGGCGCGCGGAAGCCTTCGCATCCCAGACATGCTCGCGCCGTGGCAAAAGTCAAGGCGGGATTTTTGTTTGTTATGTTCGGCCTCTGTGGGACCCTCACGGGGCCCCGAAAAACCAGTCCGAAGGAATGGGTCGAGACCTCCGGGGGTCCACGGTGCGAAATTCATGACGTCGGGGCTCTGGGGATGGCGTCCAAGTTGATGTCAGGGGCAACGCTCGGAGAAGCCCTGGCAGCCCCTGCGATCCGGGCGTCGCATTTTGCTCGAGCTGGGCGTTTTTGCCAGATCTCGGGCTTCGGAATCACACGGACCGATCTGGATCGAGAAACGGTGCAGAAAGACGTTGTCGCAGGTTCCAGTCGTGTTTTTTTGTTCCGATGTTGCATTCTCTCGAGACGTCGGATCTCTGGGCCCGGACGTCTTTGTCGGAGGCGCGCGGGGCTCGTCTTTCCAACGCTTTCGTCGGTTCCCGCAGGTTTTCTAGCCTCCGGGTGCTGCTTCCATCAGCTCCGTCTCGCCGAGAGCCTCCCGAACGGCCGCCGGAGGCCCCAGTTCTGATCCGAAGGCCGCCCCGCCCCTGCTTGGCGGCGCGCGCGGCCGCGGGCGCCACTCATCGCTGATGGGAGCCCGATGGGCCGATGGGTCACCCCGCACTTGAGCACGCGGTTTCGCCATCGTGGGCGCATCGACGATGTGTCGCCGATTCCAGGTCGATATTTCCCCCCCTGGGCCGGTCCCCCCCCTGCCGTTGCCCCTCAAGATGCGGTCGGAGGGAGCATCGCACCGCATCGCCGATGCGTCGGCGATGCGGCGCGATCGTTCGACCCCAGCTGCTCGGACCTTTTGGGGGAGGTCTTCGGACACCCTCGCGCAGCTGCAGCAAATCACGACGGAAATTGTGGGTCACGCTTCTGCTTCTAGGAGCCGCATTCCAGGTCGAGGGGCCGTCACCGGAAACGATCGGGGATGAGACGCCAACCAGAGAAGAAGAAGTCCAGACCTCTGGGGAGCCGCGCTGCGAAAAAACACAACGTCGGATGTCTGGAAGAGTGGCGCTCGCCAACTTTCGGGCCCGACGAAAGGGGGGGATTGGGAAAGGGGGGGGTACGAAATTTGCTGCATGCAGCTGGTTTCGGCCCCACCGAGGGGCCCATTCCTCGATACATGGGCGCCTCCCGGCGCCGGGAGGCGCCGGGAAAATCAGCTACGAGAGCTGATTCTCAAACTCCCCCTTTGCTATCCCCCCCCTTCGCCCGACCCGAAACTTCCTGGTGCTCTTCCTGGCGCGCCGACTGCCTCGGCGCAGCCCTCCGCCCGCCACGCCGGGGTGCACTCTCCGGACGCTGAAATAAGGAACAGTTTGAGTTCGGAAGGGGCTCGATGTTCTTTAGGTTCCTCCAGTGTTCTTCCTGGCGCGCCGACTGGCTCGGCGCAGCCCTATACGCCCGCCACGCCGGGTGGGCTCTCCGTCACAGTGCTGGGAGCCGCTTGACAGCGTGCGCCCCGGCCGACGTCTCGCTACGGTGGCGTCACTAACTTCCTGGTGCTTTTCCTGGCGCGCCGACTGGCTCGGCGCAGACCTCCGCCCGCCACGCCGTGTGCACTCTCCGGCACAGTGCCGGGAGCCGCTTGACAGCGTGCGCCCCGGCCGACGGCTCGCTGCGGTGGCGGCGGCCCCAGCGGAGGGAGAGGATCCAGGGACATCTGTCAGGAGGGGGACAAACACAGGCACAAGTAATCGTCGATTCCCAAGACTGGGAAAATCTGGGAAGCTGGGGGGAAGACGAACCCCAGGAAATTATATGGGAAAACATGGGGAACCCTACTCTTTGTGTCTATTTGTTTGTGTGTCCCAGGGCCCCTTCAATCTTTGGGATGGGTGGCGTGGGCAGCAGGGGCGCAGCTTGCCGCTCGACGGCCCCGCCTGCCCTCGCAGAGGGCCTTCTCAGAGGCCTCTCGCGAGGAGGGCTCGGCCGGAGCACCCTCGACTGAGCCCCCCCGCCCCTGGCCCTCCTGGGATCTGACGCGGGGAGTTGTCCATAACCACCGCTTGGAGGATCGACCTTGTGGCACTTCGGCAGGCGGTGGACATATACTATATGTCTATCTATCTATCTATCTATATATCTATATATCTATCTATCTATCTATCTATCTATATATCTATCTATCTATCTATCTATCTATCTATCTATCTATCTATCTATATATCTATCTATCTATCTATCTATCTATCTATCTATCTATCTATATATATATATATCTATCTATCTATCTATCTATCTATCTATCTATCTATCTATCTATCTATCTATCTATCTATATAGATATACTGGATTCCCCAGCAGTGTTTGCACTTAGGGGGTACTCCTTGTATTTCCAAACCGCTAGGTGGGTCTCCGCTTTCGCCACGTTCGCGACAGTGCCCGTTCGTGGGCGCCTCTTGGGCACCACGTGAGCTGGTTGGGTTCCCCGAGGTTTCGCCACGTTCGCGCCCACGCCCGCTCGTGGGCGCCTCGTGTGCGACCCGTGCGTTGGGTAGGTTTCCAAAGGTTCCATCACCATCACGACATAGCTCCCACCACGTTGGCTTGCACAACAGAGCTTGCAGCGCATGGCCTATTCTGCATAGTTTACACAGCATAACTCCCACCGCATAGCTCGCGCCGCATGCCTCACAACACACAGCTTACACACCGTCTCTTACGCAATAAAGCTTACACCACAGCTCACACCGCGTAGCTCACACCATATAGATTCCTCCACTGTTAATTAAACCACTTGATTGAGGTCCGAGCTGGCCAACATGTTCCGTATCCGTATGAGTACGCATGAACAGATACATTTGCCCTGACATCCTCGCGTCGTCTAACAATCTCGACGCCTGGTGTTTCATCATTTGAGGTACTTGGATGTCCTCACTGGGCCACGGGACCGTAAGGATGAAAAGCCAGCCCCCCAGGGGTATCCAAGTTGTGAGCGATCACGACGTCGGATGTCTGAGCATACATCTGTGTATGCATGTACGCTCACCTATATATATATTCATGTGTATATATTGGCACTACACACATCGCCCAGGAGGCCTCCCCCCTCGCCGTGCCCCCTTCTCCTGGGCGCCCCCAGAGGCGGTCGAGAGCCTGACGGGCCGGAAGCTGGACAACCCGTTCGTGGACGAGCGTTTCGCGCCAGTCCACACGGAGGTCGCCGAGTCGGGGCTCGAGGTGGTCGAGGGCGCCATACCGGCAGACTTCCCGGACGGCCTCTACGTGAGGAACGGGCCGAACCCCCGGTTCGAGACGACGTCCGTGGAGTCCGTGCTGGGCCGCACGGCCCACCACTGGTCCCTCGGGGGCAGCGACGAATCGGAGGTGGACAGACCTCCTACCCTGACACGTCGATTAGCGAATTGGCCGTTTTCGGTTCGCGAGAGGGCGTCGCGGCCGTCATTTTGCGGGTCCAGGTCTGCCGGTTTCGGTCCCAGGCCGCTTTCACTAATGGGAGGTTTGCTAAAGGGAGGTTTGTCCGCCGCCGAGACAAAGGGGGAAGGGGGACTGGCGTTATCGACCCCAAACCGGCCTCTCGTCGCCGATGCGGGCTCGATAGCCCACCCCCCGGCCAGGAGCGTGCAGTTTCGCTACCGGCGGCCTGTCTTCGACCTGTCGGTGACGTATCGCCGGTTCAAGCTCGTTCCCCTCCTGGGCTGTGCCCCCTGCCTGCCTAGAGTAGGCACGTCGAACAAGAAACTTGCCTCATTACCAGCAGGTGCCCCCCACTCAAGTTCCTTATCCCTCGCAGGCCCTGGGGCCCACAGGAACCTTGGGGCACCTCAGGAAGCTCAGAGATCGTCGAGCCTCGTGCCCATATACCCTTCCTCTAGCGGGATGTCTCACCGTCTGTATCTTCCGTGTTGGCCTCTCCTGGGGCGGCCTAGCGTCCCTCCTGCGCCGACTTGGGCAAGCATGGGCCGCAACACGCTGACGAAGACCTCCATGGTCCGAGTCCCCCCCTTCGCCCCCCCTCCGTCCCCCCCCCCCCCCGAGGATGCCCTGTCTCTCTCTTTGCCTGGCCTCTTGCCGTGCGCAATCCGCTGTGCAGCGCCGCCCCTGGGCCGCTCCACCGGTTCGTGCGCTCGCCGGCTCCGCGACTTAAAAAATTCGATGCTTCCGCAGCGTTCCCCATTCGCGGGAACAATAACACATAGATGACCAGTGGCGGGTTGTCGTTCAATCCCGAGTCTTTTCGAGGCTCGGAGACGACATCGGGACGACGTCGGGGTGGTGTCGGGGGGGGGAGGGGGGGGGGCGCGACCGACCCGCGCGCTCGCCAGCTCCGTGACCAAAACACATGTCCGTTTGTCTCGTTCCCCTTCAGGCGGCGGCGAGCGAGAGGGGGAACGTGAGGAGGAAAAAACCTTCTCAGAAGGCGGCGGGACTTCTCAGAAGCCCTCGCGCCCTCTGAGAGGTTGGCTGCGTCTTCGGGGGAGGCGCGGAAAACTTCTCAGAAGGCCGGGGGGCTCCCTAGCCTTTTGAGAAGGCCCTCTCCTTCTCACATCCCCCCCCCTCCTCCTCCTCCTCCTCCTCCTCCTCCTCCTCCTCCTCCTCCTCCTCCTCCTCCTCCTCCTCCTCCTCCTCCTCCTCCTCCTCCTCCTCCTCCTCCTCCTCCTCCTCCTCCTCCTCCTCCTCCTCCTCCTCCTGGGCTCTCCGCCAGCTCAGGTTCGAGGGAGATGGCATGCTCCACTCGGTGCGCTTCTCCGGCGGCGCCGCGGCGTTCCGCAACCGCTACGTGCGCACGGCCGACTTCCTGCGGGAGGAGGCGGCGGGGGAGGCCCTCTACCGGCCGGTCGTCATGTGCACGCCGCCGGTGCGGAAAGGAGCCGAATCTGCACAGACCGTGGTATTTTCTAAGGGTCTTTTGTTTTGATCCCCCCCTCTTTTCACTCGGCGGTGAAGAGGGGCTAGTCCTAAGAATCTCCCGTCCTCCTGCTCCTCCTCCCTCTTCTCCCCCTCCTTGTTGCTGTCGTCGTCGTTGTCGTCGTCGTTGTTGCGCGGCGGGTGACGCGTACACCTTGTTGTTGGGACCACAGTCCGTGAATAAAGCCGCCGATGAATATGTTGCCACCCCCTAACCGAGGAAGGTTTTGAGCTTTGACTCCCACCCTGTTTCTCTCGGGGGTGAATGGGACTGGTCCCAAAACCTCCTCGTCGCGGCGGGAATCATTTTCCCCCTACTGATGGGCCGACTAGATAATGTTGGTTGTTGGTTGTTTCCCTCCCAGGGAACGATGCCCCTTGGGCTTCCCTGCGCTAGCCCTGCTAAGGAGGAGGAGGAGGAGGAGGAGGAGGAGGAGGAGGAGGAAAAGGACGACGACGAGGACGAGGACGAGGACGAGGAGAAGGAGGAGGAGGAACAGGAGGAGGAGGAGGAGAAGGAGGAGGAGAAGCAAGGAGGGGTTGGTTGTTTGGTTGGTGTCCTCCCAGCGAGGCGGCATTGTGGGGTCGCGGGCACGGCCCATCTAGCAGAGGGCAGCAGGCCCGAAGGACGGCGACCGCCGCGACCCCGCAGCGTCCGCTCAGGGGAAGGGAAGGCACCGCCTGCGGGGTTAGAGGAAGAGGAGGGGGCGGACCGAGGAACGCCCGACTGAGCCTGGCCCCGCGCTTCTCATAGGTCCACGGAGGAGGAGCCGCTCTTCGGCCCTGGAAGCGAACGCCATGGAGAAGAGGGGAAGGCCCGGGGAGGGGGGCCTCACGGCGATTCCCTCCCACGGGGACCCCCGCCCGTACTCCCAGCCGCCTCGTGTCAGCGCAGGACCCAGCTGCGAGACTGAGAGAACGGAGGGAGAGGGGGTCACCCCAGGAGGAGCAGAGGTTTGTAGTACTCGGCTCCTGGTGGCCTGGCCCAGAATGACGCCTCCTCCTTCTGCAAGAAACTTGCCAGCGCGGCCGCCTCTGCGTAGCCCGATCGCGAGCTCAGTATCGCCCTTGCGCTGGCCTCCCGCTCAGGCGGAGCGTCCGCTTGGCGAGCGCTCCAGTAGGCTGCCGCATGGCCTCAGTCCGCTCGCATGCTGCAAGTGCGCGGGAAGCGGGTGTGAGGACCCCGCAGCAGATGCAACGCTGGCGACGAGCCCAACTTGACAGCGGTGGGTGGCCACGCCCAGCGATATAGACACCCACAATCTCCGGGAGGCTCCCACATGTTTCAGGCGTTCAGCTCGAGCAGGGGCCCACCGTCTGGGGCCCGGGGGACTCCCTTAGATCCAAGTGGGCGCGAGGATTTCGCATGCAGCTCGCCCCACCAGTGAGCCAACAGGATGTCCGCGGCATGGTCGCCGCACGGACCCAACCCCCAGGAGTGTGGCGCTCGCCCCCGAAGCCCATCGAGAGCTGCAATGATGGGGCGGAGGGCGAGGGGCTACGACAGCTCGGGTGGAGCAGGATGTTTACGGAACGCGGCTGCCCATTCCAGCCCAGGCCCAGCCTGGCCTAGCCCAGCGAGGACCATGAGGGAGGGGGGAGGGGAGGAACATCGCGCGGTGGTAGTGATCGCATTCAGGTCATCAAGGCCAGAGCGGCGATGCAAAGTTACGCCAAGCCCAGCACCCCCGTCCCTCGCCCAGGCTTCCGATCCAGCCAGCTCTCGAGACCCCCATCCCGAGGGGAAGAGGGAGTCGAGAGCGGAAGGGCAGAAGCGGGGAGGGGGGGGGGAGGGATCAAGCCAAGCCCGCGCCCGCCCAGCCCACCCACCCCAGCCCAGCCACAGCCCCACCTCTGCCAAGCCCAGACCCCTCCCAACTGATGAAGGAGGGGAGGGAGGGAGGGGAGAAAGAAGCACAGCCCATCCTGGGCCACCCCAGCCCAGCCCTCAGAGAGGAATATGAGGAGTTGGTTTACTGGTGTATTGGTTGATTGGTGCATGAAGGTGGAGGTACGTTTGGACCCCTCCCTGCAGCCGCCTTCGTTGGCCGAGGGGCTGCAGGGAGGTCCTCGGCCCCCTCCATTGGCTATTGACGCCGTAAAGTATTGGTGTATTGGTGTATTGGTTGGAGAGGGCGACCCCAGCGGCCCCTATGATGGCAGCCGCAGGGGGTGTGAGGCCTATGCTAGTCCTCACTGGTGAGGCCTATGATGGTCCTTACCGGGGTGGGGGTGGGGGAAGAGGGGAGGAAGTCGAAGCGAGTGTCCGGCAGCAACGTCCTGGGGGGATACTTGAAAAGGGGACTTAAAAACAACGTCTGTCCTCCGCCTATGTTCCAGAGGAGCCCCGTTCAAAAAGCAGAGGCAGAGAGAGAGGGAGAGAAGAGAGAGAGGGTTAGAGGGAGAGAGAGAGAGAGAGAGAGAGAGGCAGAGAGAGGCAGAGAGAGAGAGGGAGAGAAGAGAGAGAGGGTTAGAGGGAGAGAGAGAGAGAGAGAGAGACAGAGACGAGGACAGATGTGCACGCCTCGGGGTGGGTCGGCCCCCGGACCCGGAAGATACGAAATACACAGATTTCGTATCACAAGGTAGCTGGCAGCGAAGCTGCATCATGGCACCCCGGGAGCGTACAGCGGCAGGAATGCACCACCTGGAGTGCGAAAGCGAAACGTGGTGACGCTAACCCGGCCGAAGCCCGGTGACCAGAGGAGGTCCCCAGAGGCCGACAAGGGTCACAGGCCGGAGGTATCCACAACCTGTATCCCCGTGGGCGCGATTTATTTTCTCCGCCGGCACGGATGGACCAGTACACCCAAAAGCACGGAGATTCGACAGCGGATAGGCCGGTACACCCAAAACAAACATGGATGGATCGGTACACCCAAAGGCACGGAGATTCGACAGCGGATAGGCCGGTACACCCAAAACAAACATGGATGGATCGGTACACCCAAAGGCACTTATTGGCTTTATCCCATGGGGTGGATTACCCGCAGGGGCATACACCCATAACCCACAACACACACACACACCACAGAGACACACACACACGCACACACGACCACACTCCCCGGGGGCACACGACGAAAAAGACACAGCAAGAAGAGGACGCCTCGAACCTCGGAGCTGCGGCCAAACATCCTGACAGGGGCACCTGAAACGGGAAACCTGAAAGAGGAAAGCGGCCTGACCGGGGGACCTGAAGCCGAAGGAAAGCGACAGGGGGGGATCCAAGGCGGCCCCTGGACAGCTCTCGGCGAGGGCCGCTGCTCAGGACGTGTATATTGGACGGCGGCTATACCCATCCTTAGAGAAAGGCGGGGGGGGGGATGAGAAGGGGAGTAGGCCCAGCCACACACCTGCGCCCCAAGTGGCAGACGGAGGTGGCTGGGAGGGTTTTACATACCCGTCCTTGGAGAGCTCGGTTAAAGGGCGGGGAGCGGGAACGACCTCATGAGTGACGCCGCGGCGGCACATGTGACACCGCGGCGGCACGGGTCGAACCGTCACCCTTGGTGTACTGGTGTATTGGGTTGGCAGCTGACGCCACAGAGTATTAGATTACTGGCATTGACAGGCACCGTCAGCCGGCAGGGGATAAATCCCGTTCACGGCCCCATGGAGGAATATGAGGAGTTGGTTTATTAGTGTATTGGTTCATTGGTGCATGAAGCGGGAGGGAGCGAGGGAGGGACGGACGGACGGACGAGAGGGAGAGAGGGAGGAGGGGGGGGGGAGGGAGGGAGGGAGGGAGGCTGGTTGGCTGGTTTGTAGACGAAGGAGGAGGACAAGAGGAGGAGGAGGAGGCAAGAGGAGACGTAGAGGAGGGAGGAGGAGGGGAGGAGGCAGGAGGAGGAGGAGGAGGAGAGGGATGGAGCACGAAGAGGAGGAGGAGGAGGAGGAGGAGGAGGAGGAGGAGGAGGAGGAGGTGGAGGTGGAGGAGGATGAGGAGGAGGAGGACGAGGACGAAGACGGGGGGGGAGGAGAGGAGGAGGACGACGAAGAGGAGGAGGAGGAGGAGAGGCAAGATGAGGAGAGAACGGGCGGGGGGCTGAGGGCCAGATCCTGGCGCGTGAAGGTGCAATGGGGGGTAACCTTTTGCGGCTCCAAACTGAAGCCTTGAGGCTCCTTTGAGGCGACTCAACCAGCGCAACCTGAGCATGGGGCATGGCGCCGAGGCCGAGGGTGGCGCGGAGGGCGCGGCCGTCTGTGAGGTTTTGGAGAGCAGCGCGACGGGCGGACGCGCGCGTGGCTAGCTTTGCATTGTCCACAACGAAAGCGTCGCCATGTTGGCCTGGGAACAACTGAAGGTTGATATATGACCAACGCGATTGCTGGTGACCCGCCCGCGCGTTTCATTGCTGTCAAAACCACCGACAGTTTCCAAACGTTGTCTTGGTTTGCCAATGGTGTTCTAACGTTTTCCACCGTCTCAAACAGATGTCCAGGGGTGTTCCCGGGCTTCCCCGGTTTTCTTGAATGGTTTTTTGGTCCACGCCCACAATTGTTTCCAACATGTTTCCTTGGTTTTCCTTTGTACGTTTCCAGTGGGATGTCCGAGTGTCTCATTATGTTTCCCATGGCTGCCCATAGTTCTTCCAAGTCCCCAAAGGTTTCCCATTGCTTTGGTGGGTCGCACATGGGTTTCCATTGTTTGCTGCTTCCCCACGTTCCGTTAAGGATTCGATTTTATTTTCCAGGTCAGCATGGCGACTTGATATTGAAAGTGTGATTCTTTAGTATTGAAGATGTTGGCAGAACGCGCGGTATCTTTAAAACAAGACCGGTTACCGTTGAAGCGTCATCGCAGTTAGTTGCCAGGCCGACATGGACATTGTTCTATTGTGTGCAATAAGGCACTCACCAGGCGCACGTCCGCGCGCGCGCGTCCGCGCGCATGCGCGCGCGGCGAGTTCTGGGTTGTCCACAATAGAAAAGTGGTTATGCTAGCCCGGCACAAAGCAGCTCCTAGAACAGGATGTTGAGTGACCCGCCCGCGCGTGGGTCACCCGATCGCGCGCGCGCGGACGCGCGCGTGGCGATTTCTGTATCATCCACAATGGACAAGTCGTCACGTTGGCTTGGTAGCCGAAGTGAACCCGCAATGCTGAGCGATGATGGTTTGACATCAGCACGTTTTCCATGTTTTTTTTGTTTCAAACATTGGAAAGCCTCCCTGTTGGTCTGGAGACGAAAGTGAACCCGTAACGGCGTCATATTGGATGTTGAAGAGAACGTGCGTTTTCCCACGTTTTCAAAAGTAGAAGAAGTAACCATGGTGGTTTGGAAATCAAAGTGAAACCTTAACGGCGACCGACTGGATCATGAAGAGAGCCTGCAATATCAATGTTATGTTTTTTTTGTTTTTTATAATATATATATATATATAAAAATCACACGGCAATATTGGCCTGGATGTCGAAGTGGGCCCTTAACGGTGACCGCCTGGACCTTGAAGTTCGCATGCGCCCCCCGACGTTTTCAATATCAGCCAGCGTTGACCCCGAATAGATATGAGGACAGGAGGAGGACGAGAGGAGGATGGGAGGAGGACGGGGAGGACGGGAGCAGGACAGGAGGGGGACGAGAGGAGCAACATCAAGCAAGCGCAAGCAAGCAAGCAAGCGGAAGCAAGCAAGCGCAATCGAGCAATAACAAGCGAGCAGGAGATAGCGATCAAGTGCAAGCAGGCAGGGGCAAGCAGGAGCAAGCAAGCGATAGCAAGCACGCAAGAGCAAGCAAGCAAGAGCAAGCAAGGGCAAGCGACTCATAGGAACCCATCGGCATCCATTGGCGTCGCCGTTGGAAAGAATTGGGGGGGTGCCATTGGACATAGGGGGGGCATTGGCAAACAGAGGGGGGAAAAAGGGGGGAGGGCATTGGAAATAAAGGAAGGGCGTCATTGGAAAAAAGGGGGGTCCTAAAGACCAATTGCGTATGATCAGCTAGAACTCCTATAGGGCAAGCCTATCTGGAGAATCGGAACTGGGGGCCATAGGAACTAGGGGATTGGGGGGTGGGCAGCGGACCAATTAGTAGGGTTTGGGCTCGGACTCCTATACGGAAACCTATGTGGAGAATAATTGAGAAGTGGCCATGTCGGCTTGGAAGTTAAAGCGAACCCTTAGCGGTGATCGTCTTAATCATGAAGTTCATATGGTTGTTCAGATCGCTCAATAATAGAAGGGTCGCCATGTCGCATGTGAGGAGGATGTGTGAGCATCTCCTCACGAGGATTGCAATAGAAAGGCGCTTCGCTGTGATCCAGCAGTTTGCTCCACTCGCTTGCCTAGCATCGTTGGTGGCATAATTCGTGCTGGCGCCTGGTCGGCGCGCGCAGCGACGTCGGCGCAGTATCCCTCTATTGCTGGGTGGGGTGGATAATGTTCGTTTTTTTTCTCCAGCGGAAGTTTCCGACTGTGTGCGTGAGCATCTTCTCATGAGGTTTTCAATACAAGTGTGTTTTACTTTGATTCGCGAGTTTGCTCAAACTCGTCTGCCTGGCACTGCCGGCATAACTCCTGTTGGCGTTTGGCCGGCGCGCGCGGCGACATGGGATTAGTTGTCATTTCTTGTTCGGCGGGCTGGTTGCGGGGGTTCCTTTTTCAGAGGAATAATCCATTATGGGCGACCCTGCACGCGGGAGGATTTGCGAGCATCGTCGCACTATGATTGCAATAGTAATTGCTCCGTCTTGATTTGCGAATTTGTTCAGATTCGCCTGCCTAGCACTGCTGGCAGAACTCCTGCTGACGCCTGGTCGGCGCGCGCGGCGACATGGGATTAGTTGCCCTCTTTTGTTAGAGGGGCAGGATAAAGTTTGGGGGTATTTCTCCATCGGAAGTACCGACAGTAAGCTACCCTGCACGCGGGAGGATGAGTGAGCATCTTCTCACGAGGATTGCATTAAGACTTGTTTTGCCCCGCGAGTTTGTTCAAATTCGCTTGCCTGGCACTGCCGGCGGAAATCCTGATGGCGCCTGGTCGGCGCGCGCGGCGACATGGGACCTTCTATTTTGTTGGGCGGTCTGGGAAATGTTTGGGGTTTGTTCTTCCCAGGAATAACCAATATGGGCGATCTTGCAGGCGGGAGGATGTGTGAGCATCTCCCCACGAGGATTGCAGCATAACAGTGCTTCGTGTTGACCCCGGAGTTTTCTCAAATTTGCCTGCCTGCTGCTGCTCGCAGAAGTTGTTCTCGCGCCTGGTCGGCGCAGGTGGCGACGTGGGGCTTGAGCGCGAACTATTTTTTTCGAGGATGGAGCTTCTGCTTCTGAGGGTGGAGCCTCTGCAGGTTATCGTGGGGTCTGAGTTTCAACAGTCTTTCTGGGGAGGAGGCTTCTGAGGATGAAGCTTCTGAAGATGGAGTTCTGAGGGCTCGCGTTGGGCCTGAGTTTCCACAGTCCTTCTCAGTATGGAGCTTTCAGGATAAAGCTTCAGAAGACCAAGTTTCGGAACCAAGTGTTTACACGAGAGCGCTCCTGAGGCATAGTGACTTACGAGTAGTCGTCGCAATCGCAGTTGCAATCGTAGTCGTAGCCTCTGCTGGCGGGTGCCGCGAAGAAAACAATAATTAGTTTCCTCGATTGGTGGAACACCAATCCGTGAATAAGGCCGACGAAAAATAATGAATCACACCTTTTTGGGGGAGGGTGGTTTCTAACGACCTTCCACGGTCATTGAAAGGGGTTCTAAAGACCCTTAGAAGTTAAGGCTTCGGCTTTCGCACAGACATCCCCGCCCCCCCAGGTAGCCCCGGCTGGCCTTGAAAGGCCCCCCGAATAGCCCCAGCTGCATGGCCTCAACGGGCCTCCGAGTAGTCCTGGGGCCTCCTGCGGCGGCGCCCTTGGGGCGCTCCGCGCCCCAGGGATGAGATGTCGAGAGTGCCCCAGCATGCTCGGGGGGGGCCTGTTGGGGCAAGCCGGGACTCCCTGGGGAGGCTGTCTGCGCGCAGCCCGAAGCCTTACCGATGAAGACACACCGTCGAAGACCCCCTTCTCTGGCGCGCGGAGCGCTCCTGGGGCGGCTTCTTGGGGCGCTTGTTTCCATTTGTTTGCAACTGTTCCTCTAGGTGTCGATCCTGAACACGGTGGTCAACACCCAGGCGTTCGGCGCGTCGACGAAGGACGTCGCCAACACGAGCGTCGTCTGGCACGGCGGTCGGCTTCTGGCGATCACCGAAGGCGCGGCCATGCCGACGGAGGTGTCCACCGAGGATCTCTCCACGAAGGCCGGCGGCGCGCGAGAGGGGTCTGGGCGGAAGCGGGCTGGGGGCTTCCCGGGGCGCTCTCCGGGGAAGCCTCTGGGAAGGGGGAGGGCCCTTCCGAGAAGCCCCCCGGGCGCCCCCAGATTCTGGTTGGCTCCAAAGGAGGTCCAGCGACAACGGGGTGGTGCAATGGCTCATGTGCAATAGATTTGCGGGGTTGCACTAGATTTGGGACTTGCAGTACATGTTGACTCCAAAGGAGGTCCAGCGACAAGGGGGTGGTGCAACGGATCACGTGCAATAGATTTGCGGGGTTGCACTAGATGTGGGACTTGCAGTACATTTCGGTGCGCAAGTGCACCGCTTGGTTTTCGCGTGCAATGCGTTAACTTAGCTGCAATGCGATGCAATTGTTGTCGCTTCGCGAATCCCCACCAGCCCATCCAGAAACGATGCCCAGAGGAATTGCCTCGATCAGAGAAGTGGGCAGCACACAGAGGAAGCCATTATGAGACATCTTGGGATATCTTGAGCCATCTTGGAGGTCATTTTGGGCTCTCCCAGACGCTCTTGGAGTCATCTTAATCCGTGCCCCCCCCCAAGAGGCCTCCATGTGGCTAAAACCTGTGTAGAATCAATGATTAGGCATTCTCGCCGAGGCCTCTTGGAGCATCTTGGGTGCATCTGGGGGGGCTCTTGGGGCCTCTTGGGGGTCTCTTGGGGGCCTCCGGGGGGCCTCTTGGGGGCCTCTTGGGGCCATTTTGGGGCCATCTTGGGACCTCTTGGGGCTTCCTGGGCGCTTCTTGGGGCCATCTTGGAGGAGATCGATCAAACAAGAGGGGGGGTTTAATTAGCGTCCCCCCTCGGAAGCCCCTAAAATCGCCTCTTGGACCCCTCTTGGAACGCTCTTGGAGTGCTCTTGGGCGCTCTTGGGGCCGTCTTGGGGCTCTTTTGGGGCTCTCTTGGGGCCCTCTTGGGCCATCTTGGAACCATCTCCAGGCCTCGGATGGCCATCGGAAGCGAAAAGGCGAGAAAGCAAAAATCATTGATTTTCCTTAGGTTTTGGGACGATTTTGGCCTCTTCGGGGCCTCCTTGGGGAGCTGTTTGGCCACTTGGAGTTATCTTGGGGCCGTCTTTGGGCTTCTTGGAACCATCTTAGGAGCCATCTCGAGCGATCTTGCGCTATCTTGAGCCATCTTGGAGCTCATCTTGGGTTCTCTGAGGCGCTCTTGGAGCCGTCTTGGGCCATCTGGGACGCTCTAACTACCCGCGGCCCCCCCCGTCCAGGTCCAGGGGAGGGGGTAGGGGGAGGGGTAAACCCCTCCCCAAGGGGGAAGAGGGAGGGGTGGAAGAGGATCTGCTCTAGACCACCTACGCCCAGAGGGCTGGTGGGATTCAGTTCTCTTGCGCAATGCATTTGCAATGCAATTGCCCCCAATTGCCCCAAACCTATTACACCACCCCCTCTCAGCTGGACCGCCTTCTGGGTCAACCAAACAGATGGCCGCCCCTGTAGCCCTGCCCCCTCTCGGCCCATCGCCGAGAAAGGGCGTCTGGGATTTCGGTGGCGAGGCGAAGCTGCCAGCGTTCACGGCCCACCCTCGCATAGATCCCAAGACGGGCGAGCTGATTTTCGCTGCTTATTCCTTCTTCGAGACGGAGACGGCCGGGCCCGGCGTGCACATCGGGGTTGTTGGCCCCGACGGAGTGTTGAAGCATTTGGCCAGGATGCCCAGCGCAGATCGCAACACGCTGATGCACGACTGCGCGATAACGGATAAGTGGACAGTGATCACGGACTTCCCCCTTTGCATCGACCCGTCGAAGCTCTTCACCGAGGACGGCATGATCTCCTTCCAACCGAGCGCGGGCTCCCGGCTTGGCCTCGCCCCGCGCTACGGAAGCGAGGTGGAGCATTGGTTCGAGGTTCGTGCAAGCAGGAATTGCACAACCATGAATTGCCCGAGCTCCGCGCGCATTTCTTGGATCTGTGCCGGGTCCTCCCGGCGCCGCCTCCAGCGCCGCCCATGGCGAGCTCCCCGCGCCGGGCAGGGGGGCTCAGCGCCGATCCCCGGAAACGCGCGGCACTCCGGCAGTTCAAATATCTCCTTCTAGCTTGGCATCGCTCGGACGTGTGCATTTTTCCTTCGGCGAGGACCATCGAGGAGCATCCTTGATCATTTCGCGAAAAAGCCGCGCACGAAATCGAAAAAAAACAGAAAAAGGACGTCCGAGCGATGGCCAGCTAGAGGTTCAGAACGGATACGCCTTCCACCTGATGGGCGCCTACGAGGACGGCGACGACGTCGTGCTGCGGGGGTGCCGCAGCAAGAGCATGAACCTCGGCTTCCCCTACGAGGAGGGGGCACTGGACCGGGAGGCGTTCGTCCGCACGCACGTGGCGGAGAATTGGAAGGCCTCCGTTGTCGGTGGTGCTAGCGATGATGTTGATGGTGATAGGGTAGAAGGAGGAGGAGGAGGAGGAGGAGGAAAAGGATGCGGAGGAGGAGGAGGAGGAAGCAGGAAGAGCATGAGGATGAGGAGGAAGACGAAATTGATGATGGTGAAGGAGGAAAGCCGCCGTGGACGGCCACTGTGGAAGGAGGGTGTACAGGACAACAAAAACACTCTGGTGAAGAACCGATTTTGCTTCCAGCGATCCCCGCCCAAGAACGCGAAGCGGGATACCCAGGGAGCAGCGGCACACTTTGGGCCTGGCGCCCGCGGTATGCAGTCGTCACTCTTCGAAGGCAGGAGGCCTGATACCCAGGGAGTACGGGCACTCTGTGAGCCTGGCGGCCGCGGTATGCAGGTTGTGCGAGGAGTGTCGGGAGATCTGTTCTTTGAATCTAACAGCCCCAACTTGTCGGTTGGGGAAATAGCTTTACCATGCCGACTGAGGCACGGATCCAGTTAGCCAGGTGAGCGGCTGTTCCTCCTCCTACTGCTCTGTCTCTCCCCTACAACACTGCCTACACGCATGTGCCGATGTTGCATCACCTCTTTCGCTGACTGACCGTCTCGTTCCCGTCTGACCCCAGAGCGGAGGGCCCCCGTGGTGAAGGCCGCCCCGGGCAGCACCACGCTGCACGAGTGGCGCCTGCACCTGAAGGACGGCTCCGTCACCGAGCGCGAGGTGGCGAGGCTTCGGTCGGGTTGCGCGCAGACAGCCCCCTCTGGTAGTCTTAAGTCGGGCGTGTCCCTCTACAGGGGGGATATTCGAAAATAGCCAGACAATAGAATGGGGATGATTGTTTAGTATTGTTGACCTTTTTGGAGTATTTTTCTAATATGTTTTATTTTCCGTCGAAAATCCCCCTGTAGGGGGACACGCCCGACTTCACGGTAGTCCCGGCTTGGCCTGAACAGGCCCGACCAAGTTGTCTGGGGCGGTGTGAACGCCTTGGCGCCGCCTCCAGCGGCGCTCCTGGGGCGCTCCGAGCCCCAGAGTTGGGGTGTTGATACAGCCCTGGACTACTCGGGGGGCCTGGCTGGGGCCAGGGAAGACTACCTGAGGGTGCCGCCTGTGCGCACCCCGAAGCCTCACCAAGCGTGAGGTGGGCTCAGGGGCGCTTGCGGACTTCCCCGTCATCAACCCCGCCTACGAGGTTGCTTTCGAAGAAGAACAACCGGCTTATCAATGTTAGCCAACGTGGACCCCAAACAGTGATTTTTTGCCATCTATGCCGCGCAATGTATGTAGTGCAAGCTGTGCGTTGCAAGCTAAGTGCCGCAACCCATGCGGTGCATTGCATAGCCACACAGCGCAAAGCAATGTAAAGAAATGAGAAGTAGTGCAAACCATTGCCAAACAATGTAACGCAATGCGATCGAACAGCAGCGCCACTGCAATGCAACGCAACGCAGTGCAATGCAGTGCACTGCACTGCAATGCAATATGATGCAAAGCGATGCAATGTGATGCAAAGCGGTGCAAAGCGATGCAGGGCAACGCAAAGCAATACAGGGCAATGCAAAGCAATGCGAAGCAATGCAAAGCAATGCAGGCCCAGACGCCGGCCGGCGATGAGGCGTCGACGGGGCGGCGACGCCGTCCATGGATCCGCCAGGCCGACCCGCAGGCCCAGTTCCTTAGAAGACAAGTGCGAGCCCCTAAGTACAAACACTGTTTGGGGACCATCAGCTTTCGGAGGTCCACGCGGATCTTCAGTGTCGGCGCTGGGCCCTCCTGGCGGCGCCTCCAGCGCCGCCCCTGGCGCGTTCCGCGCGCCAGACAGGGTCCAGCGACGATCCAACAAGTCCGCGCGGACCTCCAGAAGTTGATTTGCATGCTTGTTTTTGTCCCTTCGCGCGCGGGGGACATGTCCGCTCCCATGGCCTCGCATGCCGGGCCCCTGGGCCGCGACCCCACGGATTCGGGGAGCTGGCTGGCGGATGCCCCATTCGCCGAGCGCGTTCCACTACTCGCAAAGTGCCTACTCGCAAACGTCCGAAAAAAACACCTGTCTGCTTTGATGCAATTTATCGTAGATCCCCCGCGGGGGATCCGGGCCATTTGCGAGTAGTTACTCTGCGAGTAGTGGAACGCGCTCGTCGACCCACGCGGAACGTATCCATGTGCCCGCGTACCCACGGGATCGCGCACCAGAGTGCAGACCGCGAGGGCGCGGATATGGACACGCTCGCCGCTCGTTGGCGAGGGGCAGAAGTACCGGCACGGCTACTGCTCCGTAGCGAAGCTCGAGGACCGGCCACGCGCCAGCGCGCCCCTTCGCCGCAGCGGCCTCTAGTGCGCGGCCCTCTCGGGGGTCTGCGCGGAGGGGCCGCTGGTGCGGGGGCCGCCGGGGCTCTCGAGGGAAAGGCAGACAGGAGGTGGAGGAGGAGGAGGAGGAGGAGGAGGAGGAGGAGGAGGAGGAGGAGGAGGAGGAGGAGGAGGGGGAGGAGGGGCCGCTGGGCCAGGTCCAGGCGCGCGGGCCGCACCGCACAGAGCCGCGCACCAGGGGCCGCTCTCTCGTGTCCCGGGGGAGGGGCCGCTCCCCGCGCGCAGCCGTCGTGAAGAGGAGAGCCTCCCCTCGGGGCTGCCCGTGTTCGGCGCGGTGGAGAAGTACACGTTCGCCGACGACGGCTCGGTCGCAGTGGAGCGGCACGTCCTCCCCGACGGCTGCGGCGCGGGCGAGCTGGCCTTCGTGCCCAAGCCGGGGGCGGCGGCGGAGGACGCGGGCTGGATGTTGCTGTTCACGGCGGACGCCGGGGGCGGGTCGGAGATGCGCATCCTGGACGCGCAGGACTTCGGGGGCCCGCCAGTGGCGAGGATCGCCCTGCCGCAGCGCGTCCCCTTTGGCTTCCACGGCACCTGGGTGCCGGGAGCGTGAGGGCCGCACGTGCGAACTCTGGGCTTGGGCCTGCCGATTCTCCACAGCTGCTATCCCGCACCCCCAGATCCACGGCGCAGTGACAAAGTCAAGACGGCGGTTTCCAGTCATCTTCGGCGTCAGGGGGCCCTCGCCGGGCCCCGGGGCCATCGAAAAGCGATCCGGGACGAAAGAACAGTCCTTTTGGAGGTGTTGCAGAGCTTCGGGGGCCCCGCATGGAACAGATCCAGGCATCGGAGGTCCGAGAGCAAGGGCCACGCCTCGCACAGCGCGTCTGCACGCGGGCCAGTCGTGGGCCCTCTCCCGCCGCACCGCATGCAGCCTGAGCTCACGCATGTGCATAGGCTTGGCATCGCCCGGACGTGTGCAGTATCTTCCTCGACGAGGACCATCGAGGAGCATCTTGAATCACATTGCGAAGCAATAAGCGCACGAACTCGAAGAATGCACGGGGAATGGACGTCCGAGCGATGGCAGGCAGGTGGGGCTACGGACGGTCCAACTGCTGCCACAATTCCTGGACACGCGCGGATGCATGCCTTGGACACTTTTTAAAAAGCACGTGCGCGAGCCAGTACAAGCGGTCCTTCCAGCACGGGCGAGCACGAAGAGCGCATGTGGGCGCCACTGTACAGGACGAGTTCAGGTGGAGCTCCCTCGGAACGGTAGCACACCTTTTCTGAACCGGTATTTTCCACCAGTCTTCCAGCAGCTCCAAAGAAGCCTGCCAAGTTTCTGAATAGCCCTGCGCTTCTCGCGAGCCTGCATGTACGTGCCCAGCTTGCCAAGGCTCTGTAGGAACTCATCTTTTCCACAGTTTTATGAATTCTTAGCCATGGCTGTGGGCCGCAGGCCGCCTGCTTCGCCTCCCCATCCTCCTCCCTCCTCCCTGCTCCTCCCTGCGCCTCATCCCTCCTCCCTCCCCTCCTCCTCCCTGGCTTCGCAGCTGAGCCACCAGTGGATTGCGCCAGGCTCCTATACCCGTGGCATCGCGTGCGACACATGTTTCTAAGCGTCACCTCGCGTAATGATGATTTGCAGGCCTTGTGGGACAGTATGTTCGAGGATTCTGACTTTGACGCTGCTGGCAGGTGTGGCGAAGTTGAAGCGGCAGCTCGTGGCTAAGCGGCAGCTCGGGGCCCCCGAGGTTCAAGTGGCAGCAGCTGGAGCGGCAGTCACTCCCACAGGCGACGCTTTCGTCAGCCGCCTGTAGCCGCTTGGGCAACTGCCTCCCCAATTAAAGCTGTGCGTAGCCCGCCTAGCTTTTACCGGAAGAGGTTCGCTCTCGCCCCGCAGACCCAAAAATAATTGTAGCCGCTTGGGCAACTGCACGCAGATGGCCTCAGCACTTACTGTCGGAGAAATGGGAGGTTGCAGCGATGCTGTGAGGGGCTCCGGCTATGCCACGCGAGGGTCAGTTTGTCAGAGACACTGTGCTTTCGTGTTGAGCAGTATTCTGCTGAGGTTGGTCGGCACTGTCAGAAGATCGAGCGTGAAATTTGCAGCTGGCTCACCTGGACTCCGAGTTCCAGGACTTTCTGAAGAAAGGCATCACGGAGCTGGTCAACCCTGTCTTCGGACGTACCGTTAGTACAGGCCGACCACTGCATCAACAGGTGTCGGAGCGAGGCCGACAAGGTTGGCCGAGCGTGAATGGGCTCGAGGAGCTCTTCGGGGGAGGGGCCAGCAAGGCACACGCTGTGGCTAAGGTCCGCGCCCAGGCTGAGCGCCTCGAGTGTGGTGGTGACTCTCAACCCTTCCAGCTGGCATAGCAGACTATGCAGAATAGGGCCGGGGCCTGGGAGCCCACGAGTTGCTAGAGTCTTGGCTGCTTGAGGACTCGAGTGCGTGGGCGCCCTTGCCACGCATCGAGCTCGGCCAGATGCGAGACTGTGTCCGTAGTTTCTCTAGACGTACCACGGCTAGGCCAACCCGTTTGCCACCGAGGTGGACGTGTTGTACGACCAGGCTTTTTTGCAGTAGCGGGAATGTTCATGTTGTTTGAAAGATAGTTGGCATGGCCAACGGACCACAGAGCGAGTTCGCGCGACTCCCCAAGCCTGACGGGGACACCAAATCTTGCTAAAGGGAGGTTTGTCCACCGCCGAGATTATTGCAAACGCGTAGCTAGCGATTGGGACGCGGTCGCGGGCCTCCCAGCGCGTCCAACGACCACGCCTGCTCAGCAGAGGGCCGCCCCTCGTGCTGAGGACCTGTCTCCGTCAGAGGCCGGCACGGACAGGCGTAAGGTGATCGGTGGGATTTTCTGCGCTGCTCGGTGCTCCTGGCCAGAGGTGTCGTCCGCAGTAGGGGGGAATATTCCAAAATAGTAAAAATAGAGTCTGGAGACTATTTTTTAAAGTATTGTTCGACCATGTCGGGGCATGTTTTGACTATTTTTAATTTGTCGTCCAAAATGCCCCTGTAGGAGGGCACGCCCGACTTAACAGTAGGACGTGTTGCGCGATACGTCTAAAAGTGGTGTGTTTGGGCTCAGTCGGAGTTGAGTCACCTCCTCTGCTACTTACCTGCCACCCACGACTACGTCCTTGTCATGCTGAACGCGGGAGATTCCTGGGACGACTTGCAAGTGCATGCTTGCAACGACGCCGATTTCGACGCACCCAAAAGCACAACATGATGTTGCCTTGAGCTTACTGGTGGGAAAGGGGTCCCAATATCCCTTGTGCTGTGGCGCTGCCGGGCAATTCTATCGCAACGACGAGTTCCGGCGAGAGCGAGGCCTTCGCATTGTCTGCAACCGCTAAGCATGGTAGAGTACACGCGCCTTGCCCCAGTAGACGTCGTTGGCCATCTCGACAACCAGGCTGTTCAGCAGGCTGTTCAAAAAGGATACAGCCAGAAACTCGGACACTTGAAAAAACACGCGGAGGTGACACTTCTCTTCCTGCACGAGTGCGGTGTCGTCCCGAGCCACACGCCAGGGATCTACAACATAGCGGACGCGTTCACAACATCCCTCGGCCATAGCAAGCTCATGTCTCTCGTCGGCCGTCTTTTTAGTATACGGGCCCAGCAGTTCCCCAATGGCTCGATCAAGGTAGGCATGGTTGGTTTGTCCCAAACAAGTCGTCATCAGTCTGCCTTTTCTGCCCCATCGCGTTCCTCACACGCCGTCCCTGCAATGGCGTTCACACCTATGCAGAGAATGGCCGAGCGTATTGCTCGTGCCGTCATGCTGGACAACGCGGCATACTTCGGGGAGTTGGCCGGCAAGTGCGATTTGTCTCAGCCCTTGCAGCACGACTGGCACATGGAGTTGAAAGACTTCCAGGCGCACCAGCTTGAGAAAGCTGACTCGCTCCAGGCCCGGATCAAGGCAGACGCATCCGCCAGAAAGGATGGGGACAGTCGCGTTGCTGTGTCACGGCCGGCTGAAACCTCCCGTTGGCGTGCCGATGTGCTTGTTGGTGTAGACATGTGGGTTGCTGGCCCGAAAGAACACGAGCGGAAGCGTACCAAGCAAGACCCTCGGCAAGCTCAAGTCCAAGCCCTTCCCGTGCAGCCAGCTCCTGGCCGCATGTTCCAGGTCATCATCGACAAACGTTGCGAGGACGCAGACGACGACTTCCGGGTGACGTGTGTGTGAGCCCGCTGTCAGGGGACACGGTAGCCATTTTCGATATCGAATGGGGTCTCAGTATCGCCATCTCTTGGGGGAGATTCGTCATAGGGTGTCCGGCGAGAACAGTTTGTTATCCGAGAACAAAGTGCCGATGGTAAACCTCCGAGTTGATTATTTAGTGAACGACATCCCAGATTTGGACCATTAGTTCTTCGACGGAGGAGCTGCGCTACAGGACAACGCCGCGGAAGTACACCCGCAAACCCAACAACGCTGCGCAGAAGACCCGGAAACAACAACATTGGCAGGCAAACAAGAAGGTTACCAGGGACATTCTGCAAACAACAAAGCTTAAGTCGGCGCCGCCTCCAGGCTTGCTCGCCGCGTCGGCTTTGAGAACTACTGCACCGAAGTCCGGCGACGCCCCGCCGCTCTTCGGCACTACGTCCAAGGCTCCTGGCGCCCCACCGCCGCGGCGTGAGGGCGCCTCTCCCGCCAGGGCGCGCCCGGAGAACACTTTCTAAGGCAGCGGCGCTCTCTTGAGTTTTATGTGGCAGACGCCGATCAGCACGCTGCACTCATTTCGCACTGGAGTTCTCCACGTATCGTATTGGACTCCTTGATACTTACGTGTAGGATTCAAGACAACATAAGGTGAACGTATGCTTAGCCCAGTCGGCAAAGAGTTTTCATAAGGGTGCGCTCCGGATTACTCGTTCTTGCCTCCTCCCGCCCAGCGCGCACCCCAGAATTTCATTGGACAAGCGCCGCGCGCGCGCCTGCCGCCACAGCGTGGCAGGACGGCGTGCGGGAGGGAGGGTTGCTGCCACGCTGCGTGGTGGCTTAAGGCCCGCAATAGGCCCGCGCGCTCCCGCACCTCCTCCTCCCCTCCTCCTCCTGCTCCTCCTCCTCCTCCTCCTCCTCCTCCTCTTCCTCCTCCTCCTCCTCTTCCTCCTCCTCCGTCATCTCCCCCCCCCAAATTTTTTTCCGCCCAGCCTAGCCGTCGCAGCCCCTGCTGCTTCTCGGCCTCGAAGGGAGGGCTGGCGCGCCCCGCCAGCGGGCAGACGCGAGGAGCGCACGACGGGGACGTGGTGCCAGGGAACAAAGACTAGCTTGGGGAGGGGCCCAGCCCTTAGCAGCTGCATGTGACGTCGGTTGTGAGCCTCTCTATGCACGTCCCGTTTGAAGGATGTGCCAAATCGGGTGGGTGTGGGGGAGCGCATGCAAATGTGCCATTGTTTTCTTTTGTGGAGTTCACTGAAAGGAGCGAAGCGTGTGAGGGCATCCTAAGCATGTTTGTGTTGGCCTCGCTGTGGCGCCACACCTATTGCGCAGCGCTGTGGCTTTCAAGGCATGTGCTGATCGGGTTGCAAATATACGTAGGTTGATGCCGGAGTGGGCGGCCCACCATGCG